CGATAATCCAGTTTTCTCCCCAAACATTTGTGTCAGCCCCATTGCCAATATGCCGATATAAACCCTTTTTGAATAATTCTCTACCATGCATGATGCTCCTCCATGCATAAGACGGACGTTTCCCCATTCCACAGTCCAAAAAATTGCCATTTTTAAAATATTTACCTTTTAGAATCCGAGCCACCAGAGAATCCGGATTATCCCAAATTCTCCAAGCTTGTTTCCCGAGTAATGCCTGATTAAAACGACCAAGATCATGAAACCCCATACCCCCCTTGTTCTTTGGGTTTACATAAATTTTTCCATGAAACCTATGGGATCTTTCTCTTTTTATCTCCACTTCTGCACCAAAATTCTATTATTGCACTTGTATTTCGTTCACAAAGACCTTTTGGTAATCGAAACACAGACATTGCATATATTGGGAGAGCCAAAGCTACAGATTTTATGAGAACCTCCTTGGCACCCTTCGATAAGGTTTTAGAGTACCACCCTTGTAACCGTCCCTCTAATTTTTCTTTGATAAAATTTAAGAGATCTTTTTTTTAACCTTGAAAGCACTCAGGGAGTCCAAGATAGGCACCTTCACCACCTTCCTTTTCAATATCAAGAACCTGTTAATAGCCTGCTTGGTGTCTTCTTGGATTATTTTCCCAAAAAATGATGGATGATTTCAAAGGGTTAATCATTTGGCCCGACGCATCCCCATAAAGTTTAAGGCCTTTTAAAATTTCTTCGCTATCACTGACAGAAGCTTCACATAATAACAAGCTATCATCCACAAAAAGTAGATGGTGGACCGGGGGGCTGCCCGTAGCTAATTTTATTCTAGGACTTTCCCTTGTGCCTCCGCTCTGTTTAAGACATGAACTAAAGCTTCAGCACATAAAATGAACAAGAAAGGAGATAAAGGATCCCCCTGACGGATCCCTCTTTCCGGTCTAATACCCATGGGATCTTCCATTAAGTAGGACCGAAAAAGTGACAGTAGTTATACATGACATGACCCAAGCGACCCATTTCCTTTCAAATCCCATTTTTTCCAATAACACTTCAATGAAATTCCATTCAACCCAATCATAAGCTTTTGACATATCTGTCTTGATAGCCATACTTTCTTTACCTATTTTATCATTTGTTCGTAACCCATGCACCAGTTCATGGGCTATGATGATATTGTTCGTAATTAACCTACCTCCAACAAAAGCACCCTGAGTCTCTGAAATTATACTCGGTAAAACCACCTTCAAGCGATCACATAAGATGCGAGAAATGATCTTGTATTGAACACTGCAAAGACTAATGGGACGCATATCCTTCATTTCCGTGGGATGTAAAACTTTTGGTAATAGAGATAACTGCGTATGGTTCTATCCAGCCGGAATGATGGCCATTCTAAAAAAACCTTGAACGTCCTCCATAATTTTTTGACCCACAATATGCCAGTACTTTTGATAAAAAAAACAGTAAGTCCATCCTTCCCAGGAGCACTACTACCTTTGATACCAAAGGCTGTGTTCTTGATTTCGTCAGGAGAAATCTCTCTAGTCAACATTGTATTCATCGCTGAGGTGATTCTGCTCTCAAAACCCTCAAACAATGTGTCCAAATCAGTTGGATTCGAACTAGTAAACAAATCTCGGAAATATTCAGTAGCAATATGACCTTTAGACCCTTCTGAATAATATTCATTCCCAAATATATCCCTGAGTATTAAGATCTTATTCCTCATTTTTTTCTCTTTTACCACATTATGAAAGTATGTGGTATTTCTATCTCCTGCCCGTAACCATTCCTCTCTACTTATTTGTCTCCAAAAAATCTCTTCTTCCCTAAAAGCCATAGCCAGATCATGTCGTAACCTCCTAAGCAATCCATAGATGGGGAATTGCTTAGAGCTTTCCTTGTCCAGCTCCATTTGTAGCCGTTCTATTCTTGTTTTTTAATTCCAATCATTATTCTTCTTAAGCTTGGAGAGTTCCGTTCTACAGCAAGCAATACGATCCAAGACACTTTGATTTGAGTTTATGTTCTCAGCATCCCACCCACGAACAATGGCTTCATCTACCCCTCGCTTGCCATACATCCGTTTGTCAAAATAGAACCGACCCCGTTGCAAGTTTTCAGGCTCAAAGGCAAACGCTATACGTAGAGGTCTATGATCTGAAGGCCACATACTCATATAGTCGGTAGACGATTGAGGGAAAAGGCGAAACCAATTTTCATTACCAAAAATCCTATCCAGGCGACATTGAACCCAGTTATGATCCCGCATACCCGCCCATGAAAGGGTATTTCCCGTGGTCCTCATTTCCCTAATTTTACACGCCTCCACCATGTTTCGAAAATCAAAAACGTTGTTTCATCTCTAGTAGCACCACCTAATTTTTCACTATTATTCATTAATTCATTAAAATCCCAACCAAAGTCTACGGCTCATCTCTGTCCACACCAATGTCCGTTAATCTAATCCCAAATGAAACGTCTTCGTCCCCTTACTGGGTCCCCATATACACAGGTAAGGAAAAAGACCAGGGAACCCATTGTTACTTTAAGATCAATAAGTCTATTATCACTATAAATAATATCAACCGCATAACAACCTTTCCACATTAAAGCTAAACCACCACTGCGACCAACGGGTTCAACCGTATGTAAACAATCATATCCCAAGCTTAACTTTAAAACCTCCATATAAGGCGATTTTTGCTTTGTTTCCATCAAAAAGATGAAATCCGGAAAATATTGTCGCCTTGAGTCTCTAATACGTTGAAAGGTCTCAGAATTATCCACACCCCTACAATTCCAACTTAGAATACTCATAATATAAAATTATATTGACAACACTCCTTGGAGTCAATATTAACGGGTTTGAAGAGACCCAATTAATCAACACCCTATACCCCTTGGATATTCCAGTTAAAAACCAACGAAATTGCCTCCAACTCTTTGAACCTGTGGCCCATGATCTCGTATTCCTGACCAGGAAAAACCAAAGACTCCATATATTGTTGTACCAAACTCCCTGTTGGTGATGAACCGACACGAGGCTACGTTGTTGAACACACCATATGTGGAACCTTTGAATATTGAGAGCATAATTTACAAAGATTAACAGCCATTACACCAAGTTTCTCCAATATTAGAATTTTACCTACACCATGGATTATACGATACAGGTTGGACATGATCCAACAAATTCGTATAACAAACCAGACTCGGTATGAAATCATATCACCGCAAAACTTTTTAAATATCTACTATATTAAAACAGAATCATTCTTTTTATCTACTGATACAAGTTATCATTTAAATTTGGACCCTTTCTAGAATGTTACAAATAATATAAGTCATATAATTGATTGAACCATATTACTTAAATTAAACCAACACAATTAATATAAAGAGACGACCTTAATGTAAACTACCTTTAAAATATGGTAGGTATCTATGTGTATATCGAAAACATATATTTTCTCCTACAAATATGGAATGTTCTAAAAGAATATATATCATCAAAATATGGAATATGGAAATCTACTAATTATATTAAAATTAAACCAGTGGTTATTTATGGAATATTGTCTTGTGCTTACTTTTATTTTTTGAACAAATTATATAGTTTGGTTTTTGGCTTAGTATTAAAAAAAACTCTAAAAACATTGAATAAACTTTTCACCTTAAAAAATCAAAAAATCAATTATTATTCTTAGACCCAAAAGGTATTTAATATTTTTAACAAAACAAAATTATCTATTATTAATCATTTATTTAAATCATGTATTTTAAAACATGTTAATATATTTTTTTATTCTAAATAATAATCACTTTGTTTTGATAAATTTCAATGGTAAATTTTAAATAATTTATTGTTTTATTTTTCTTAAATAATTTACTGATTAAAAAAATGTAAAGCAAAACCAAAAACCAAATCTAAAAACTAAAATCCAAACCAAAAGCTGAAAACACATGTTATATTTTTTTGCTTTGTTTATTTACAAAATAAACTATTTCAATTTTTTTTTAATTGTCATCTTTTCAGTTTTGAATTAGATGTTCGATTATTTGAGATTTGTTTGTTGGTAATATTAGTTCAAACTAACTTAGCGGGTTTAAAAATTAAAAACCCAAACCAAAAACTGAAAATGAAAAGTAGAAACTTAAAAACTAAAAACCAAAATCTAAAAATAAAAACTGAAACTAAAAACTAATGAAAAATAATCATCACCACAAATTTTGGTGAACTGATTTTATATCAAAATATTCTTTAAACTAAGACAAAACCCAATTATATAAATTTTTAATCATAAAAAATTTCCGCGCTTTTAAGCGCGGGTCAAAATCTAGTTTACTCTATTAAAGTAGAGTCATTCTTTTTATCTACTGATACAAGTTTTCATTTAAATTTGGACTCATTCTAGAATGTTACAAATAATATAAGTCATATAATTATTTAAATAATTTATTATTTTATTTTTCTTAGATAAGTTACTGATTAAAAAAATATAAAGCAAAACCAAAAACCAAATTTAAAAACTAAAATCCAAAACCAAAAGCTCAAAACACATGTTATATTTTTTTTCTTTGTTTATTTACAAATTAAACTATTTCAAATTTTTTTTCTTTAAATTTGTTGTCATCTTTTCAGTTTTGAATCAGATGTTCGATTATTTGAGATTTGTTTGTTGGTAATATTAGTTCAAACTAACTCAGCGGGTTTAAAAATTAAAAACCCAAACCAAAAACTGAAAATGAAAAGTAGAAACTTAAAAACTAAAAACCAAAAACCAAAATCTAAAAGTAAAAACTGAAACTAAAAACTAATGAAAAATAATCATCACCACAAATTTAGGAAACTAATTTTATATCAAAATATTCTTTAAACTATGATAAAACTTAATTATATAAATTTTTAATCATAAAAAATTTCCGCGCTTTCAAACGCGTGTCAAAATCTAATTATTAATTTAGAATAAACCCCTAAGCACATGCTCTTCCTACTAATAAGACGTACATGATCCTCCTGAATTTTCCACCTCTTCCAAGACAACAAAAAAACTACGGATGTGCCAATGTGAATAAAGAAATGAAATTCTCTCCCTAATACACATATACTTCCATATTTTTCCTTTCCATCGCCTCATGTCCCCTTTGCCATTCTTCAATAATAACCCAATGAAAATCATTAAACCAATATTCTTGCCCCCAAAACTTCCATTGATACGCCCCCTTTGGAGTAAGAGTCCCAAACTCTGAGTTTGCTGGTATTGCATTATGAAAGACCACCAAAGGACCTGCACAAAACACTGACACCATAATATATGCCAACCTTTAGTTAAGATAACTAAACACAGATGAAACCCATTAATACTAGGAAGTGTACAAGTCGGTGCTTTACACAGAGGACGAAGTCCTATCCACAATAAAGGATCCCACAAGCTATTATACCCTCGCTCCTGGTAATTAACCGGTTGCAAAGGAACCCTCAACTGATCACAGACTGGAGAAAATAGCACCTGAAAACATATACTCCTGATTCCCAAATAACAAAAATAGTCAAGAAAGAGGGGATGAATATTATTTCTCACTGAAGGTTGCAGCAACATAACATATCCCCATGTAACTACCACATCTCCGAATTCCATAAAACCAATCCTAAAATACCAAGAAACCACTATCGTGGATTCCAAATTTCCATCAAACTGTAATGGCCAATATCGCAGCCAGAATTTAACCTTTAGCCCATTCTCAAAATTTTGTGATAACCACCTGTGTCTCCAAAATAATACTAACATGAGAATAACTTGCCAACCACTGCTACACGAGATCCTCCCCTTTATTCCTGCATTACCAAACCAGACCATAAGAGCATATAATGGACCGAGAAAGGAAGAAACCATAATCAAAAACACCAATTTTATTATTCAAATCCCATCTAAAAGGGAGAATCCAACACAGATGGAAAATCATACCAATGAAACACCAAAACATGCCAAAATGAAAGCAGACAAAACATAATAGAAAATAAAATGGAAAACCACCAACACCCTTCCCTCTAGTGAAAAACTCAGCCATAGGTTGTCTATCCATAAAAGCTAATGCTTTGGATCAGCTTTTGGGTTAGGGGAACCTTCCCATCCCCTTGTTTGATCCCAACAACCTTGTGAATACCTTGCTTAACAAGTGTGTGTTTCCTTGGTGAAAGGATAACCTGAGCAAACTTCTTGCTAGCTACACCTCCTGGACCAGTATTAAACACAGGCCTACGCGCTCCATCCTTTTTAACAACATCGCCAGCCTTTAAATCCCTCTCCTCCGCCTTCTCCATATTCATAGGAACCTCCCCCTCCATCACCGTATTCCCAACATTCCCTGCCTCCTGATCACTTTCCTTGAGTATCTCCTTCCCCTCATCATCCGTGAGGTCTTGGAAATCATCCTCTGATCCCTGAAGCGTCTCTTCCCCCTCAACAACAAAGAGATTACCTTCAAGCTCCATACCATGAGCACTAAAATTCGGGACTTCCCCGGCCAGAAGATCTTTCTCACCATCCAAATCCTCCTCGCGATGAGCTGGTTCCACTTGTATAGGAACAGGCTGTGAACTCCCTGTTAAGGGAGACTGAGGTTTCTCCATCTCATGTTGGCTATCCTTTGAGCTCTCGATCTCGCCTTCTTCTTGCTGAGCGTCGTTATTCAAAGCTTTGTCTTCACCATCACCATGAGTCCTTCGCACTTGAGAGTGAGAACGATGCCTTTCATAATCAAAACTTCGAGAATGCTCCCCCTGATATCGACCACTACGAGCATCCTCTATCCCATTATTGTTACGATGATTCTGGGATCTATTATTGCCACGATCACCACCCTTAGACCGTTTAGGACCATAGTCATCATGCATCCTGCCTTTCCCCTTACCTTGATGGTATTTTGGCACCCGAAATCCATCAGCTTGACCACCATCTCTATTCCCATCACCATGAGAAACAACACCAGAGTAACTTCTGGCCCTGTCTTCTGGCTTACTCGGCCCCCTCAACTCTGTGTTTCTCTCCATTACCTTAGGAGATAAAGGACATAGATCCTCGTGGTGACACAAGCTAAAACACTGACTACAGTAGCCAGACAGTTTGTCTTAAGTCAAAGTCACATGAGCCTCCAGATCCTCATAAAACTGCCCTCCCTTGAAATCCACAGTGGTGTCAAATACCAGCTCTTTAAAACCATCCAACACTATTTAGCATCAAAGAAAACCAAATCCTCCGTTGCTTCAAAGAGACCAAAGATATTACCTTCCAAAACCTGAAACTCCCCTATCAGAAATCGTATCTCGCATTGATGCATATTTGAAATCCCAATCCCCACCGATATCGGAATCGCCCAATCCCGATTTCTTTGCCCAAACACCTTACAAAGCCATTTTTCCAGATTATCTCTGTAAGATCTTGACCAACCAAGAATCCAATCGTAATCCCATGCTTTTCGACTCCATCTACGATCTCGTATCCCTGGATCCCATCCGCAATCCATTGCGAATCCTAAATCGCTTTCTCCATCGCCGTCGGTTACGTTTTTTGTTTTTTTTTTTGTCGCTCGATTACTAGCAAATAGATAGATATATTTTTTTTTATCAAACTGAAGATAGATAGATAGATAAAAACAGTGTTTTTTCAAGAAGATGAAGAGGTGTGCCTTCAGTCTTCTTGTTGTCTTAACCGTTATCATAAGACAACAGATTCAAAACTGTTTTCTTTAGTGCCTTTTTAGCTTCTGAAAAACGTTACTAGCTTATGGGAAAAATGGTCTGATTTCATATATAGTTGCTTTAATTTATTTGTCACAAACAAAAAACTGTCACCTGCAGGAGGACATGCAGACTATTGCATCAGAGAGGGAAAAAAATGTTTTTGTCTAGAGTTCTTTAAAAGATAACGTCTAGACTTGATATTGGTATAAGTTTCCAAATAAATACAATATTTTGTTGCTAAATAGTGTTGTGAAAGTTAAAAGGAGATAGTATTTGTACTGTCTAGTATTCATGGTTAACAACACTTAAATAATAAATACTAGGATAAGACCTGCGCCTTGCGCAGGGTGAAATATATGTAATTAAAATATAAATTTTTAGTATTGACAAATTTAAAATTTACATATGATTGTTTTTGTATGTATTTGAAATTTAAGAATTTTGAAATTTTTATATAATTATCTATACGTAGGATCAGAAACAATTTTATTTAGAAATGTAGATCAAATCTTAGAATTTAATGGATCTGTTTTCATATATCTTTTCACTTTTCAGTGTTCGAGTGATGGAAAATAAATAGCGTGTTACTGCGCTTGATTGGTAGAATATTAGCAAGTTCCCTAATGTTTTTTTAAGAAATAATTGGTAAAATATTTGCATTTAAAATATATAAAGTTTCAAAACTAATTTAATATAATTTATTTATCTGTCTAATAATATTAGAAAATTCTATTTTTTACAAATTATTATTTTTTAAAATAATTTATAAAAAAATTATGTTAATTTTTAAATTATTTTTAAAAACAATATTTTAAGTTTTTCAAATACAAATAAATAATTTAAAATTAATTATGGTCATGATTTAACATAACCATAATGATTTAAAAAATTAAAAAATTAAAAAATTAAAAATTAACAAATTAAAAATTAACTCAGTTTTATATCATGATTTAACAATTTAAAAATTAATTATGGTTATGAAAAGTTTACGTTCATGTGTCAGTCCTATTTATCTTCCATTTTTCTCTAGCTATGTTTTTTTTTATATTTTGGTTATTACTCGATATAAATATTTATTTTGAATTTTATTCTCATTTCGTTTGTTTTAGAAAATACTTATGATTTAAAATAATTAACGAGATACTTGCTTAGGTTAAGATCTGCACTTTATGTACAATAAGTATTTTATATTTATTATTTATTTTATATTTTTCTGCATATTATAAATAATAAAATAATAAATATATATTAAATAAGTAAGAAATCAGTTACTATTATGTAATAAATTGACTTATGCATATAAATTTAACTATTACTCTTGTTTATTCACAATTAGGGTAAATAAAGCAAAATAATCAATCTTATATATTGTATATGATATATAATTAAATTTAAATAATATAAACATAGTAATATAACACACTTTTAATATGGATATTAATTAAATGAGGTTTATACTCATATGATTTTATGATTATTTACATATTTGTGTAACAAAACTTTACACCAACGATTTTTTTTAATGTGAGATGTTTAGTAGTTTCAATAATTTATAATCATTTAAAAAAACAATAACATATTTCAAAATTAAAATATTAACTTTTCAATATATGTTCAAGACAAATATCAAAATATAAGAATGTATTTTCATACGATGTATAGTTTAATTAAAATGATATTAAATATATATAAACTAAAATTATTTCTTCATATGGTCTTATAATCATTATATTTTAGTATAGAAAAAAATTAAAACCTTGATCATAAAAGTTTATGTGGGACTTTTAACAGTTTTAGTAATTTATACTCATTTTGAAAAATTCGAAATACAACATACACAACAAAAAATCTAGATTTTTATTATATGATTAATGTAATTGTGTAATTTATTTTAATAATAAAGAAATAAACAAAATGAAAAAAGTATACAGATGGTTATCAAATCTTTATTGTTTAAAATCATTAATTGTCATATATATATTTTGATCATATTAGGTAATTCCGTAGGTTTTATTTAAGGAAAGCATGTGAAACAATAAATATTTGATATATGCGACCAACTATAGCCTATGGAATATTATATTGCTAGAGAATATTATTTTTAAACTATACATTATATCACATACTCTAGAATCCTTGGGATTTGAAAATAGAAGCCAAAGAGATATGCCACGTAGGATTGGGGTTATTTTTAATTTTTACAAACTTAAGGTTACAACTTTTTAAATGATTCTCAAATAATATATAGGAGATTTGATATATGTGACCAACTATAGCCTACAGAAAATTATATTGCTAGAGAATATAATTTTCAAACTATATATTATATCACATGCTCTAGAATCCTTAGAATTTGAAATAGAAGCCAAAGAGCTATGCCACATAGGATTGAGGTTATTTTTAATTCTTACAAACTTAAGGTTACAACTTTTTAAATGATTCTCAAATAATATATAGAGGATTGTATGCAAATTGGTCAGATCATAAATTTTAAGCGTTATTCTTAGAGAGTTCAGTGAAAACCATTATTAAAGAAAAAAAGAACACAAGATAAGCAAAATGAACATCTAAGAAATATCGGTTCAGTGATAAATTTACAAATTTAAATCAAATTTGGTCAACCTAGTAGAACTTAAGTCAAGTATATACAGAAGACTAAACCGATCTTAACCTAGTAACCTAGTAAATACAATAAAAGTTGATTTAAATTAGTAAATCTACTTGGTTTAAATTTGATTTAAATTTGTAAATCTACTTTTTTTAAATTTGATTTAAATTTGTAAATTTATCTTTTAAAATAAAAGTTGATTTAAATTAGTAAATCTACTTGGTTTAAATTTTATTTAAATTTGTAAATCTACTTTTTTAAATTTGATTTAAATTTGTAAATCTATCGTTTAAATAAAACTTGATTTAAATTTGATTTAAGCTCTACTTGCTTAAATTTGATTTAAAGTTATATATTTATCTCTTAAAATCAATTTGATTTAAATTTGTAAAACTACTTGGTTTAAATTTGATCTAAACTTGTAAAATTAAGTTTTATTTTAAATGATAAATTTACAAATTTTAACCAAGTAGATTCTCATACTCTCAGTCGATCAACTGGTGCTGGCATGAAACCCATAAGATAAGAAGAAGCTTATGGACTTTGGATCTTGTTTCTTCCAAGATCGGATGGAATTGGTGAGCTAGGCGACTGGGCATAGACACAGTTTAGGAGAATGCCTACTTAGGTACAACAATTTAACAAGGAAAAATGTGCACTGCTTTAGGAAATGATGATTCCCAGAAAGCATAAACCTTTGTGTTTCTTCTACAATTAAGGGAAATGTATCTTTCACAAAGGAAGTGATTGTCACTACTGAAAGAACTCTAAGCATCTACAACATGAGACTGATTAGAATCTGAAATATATGAATCCTATTCAAACATCAATCTTTTTATAAATCGGATTGCAAAAAATTAAGGTGATTCTCCTCTTTCTCTCTCTCATATATTTTAATTTGTGTGAACCATATCTTGATCTTATCACACTTTGATGAGAAATAAAATTCAATTTTTGATAATGAAAAATTTTTCTCTTGGATCCTTTTATCCATAGGATGAGAAGAAAACTTTAGAAAGTGAATTAGTTAGTGATAAAAACAATAGTTTTTTCAGGTACTTTTTTTAAGTAGCTATGTACAAGTTATGCTCTTTATAACAATTTGTTGGCAAAGTAACCCAATACTTGCAGCAATTTATGTTCTTCCATCAACTCTCTAACCGGGGTGAGAACTATGTGTGTAGCACTAGTTAATTAGCTTTCAACTCATCCAACATGAATCAAAGGACAAACTACTTTCACAAGAAAAAAAGTAATTATTTTTACAAGATGAAAATATGGTTTACACAAACAACATGAGAGAGAGAGAGAGACAACTCAATGAATATTCAATTCATCAAACCATTCATGTTTGAGCAGGCTTCAGATATTTTGGTTGTAAAACATTAATTTTGTTATTATTTTTGTTGTAAAAGTTCAAGTTCCAAAAATTATAAAGTATATTTGTGTTTTTTTGTGTTAGATTCAAATAAAACTATATATTCAACTTATTATGCTTGTTTTCTTCTTACTTAAGTTTTAAAAGCTATATTTTCGTTGATTTTCTAGTTTGAAGCCATTTTTAACTTTTTGGATATGCCAATTTTTTAGATCTGAATATGATATATTGAACTCTATGAATAGACTTCTTGAGGTAAGTTTGCTGAACTATGGGTGAAATAAAAAATTTAGTGAAATCCAACCCCAAATTAGAAGATTTCATCAAAAAATCTGCTACGGAGTTATGCACTAGCAGACTTCATAAGGTTAGAAAACTTCTTGAAGAAGTCTGCTATATGATGTACATGGTTCTTCCCTATTTTGCTTCACTTTTAGCTGCAGGATTTACAGTGAGAAAACATGTAGAGAGAGACTCTTACATCGACCGTTTATATGATAAAGTTGACTTTAGTCTCTACACAATCATCCACCTCAGCATCATGCATAGGGCGAATTGTGACACATGGCTTCTTCTAACTTTATAACTTTGTTTTTGTTTGGTGATCAAAGCCATATGAACCAATTCGTCGATTGATATTTTTCGCTGATTTGAAACGTAGTGTCTATTTAATTTACTTTCGCCATCTTCATTTGTGTTTGAGTCTCTCTCTCTGTCCATCTATCTCTCTCTCTCCAGATCCACTCACAAATTCTATTTAACTGAGTAACTAAGATTATCAGACAATTGAAGAAAAATGATTTGTTGCTCAGCTCCTAGATCGAAATTGATAATCCTCACCATTAATCAACAAGTCAATCAGATCTAGCCTATGGTGGTATTAGGGTTCCAATCAGTTCTACACTACGACAGGTTTAAGGTTTAAGCAGATCGGAGGAAGAATTACAAAGTATATGGTGAGTGCTTGCTATGATTGTTTTTTTTTGGCTTCTCTGAGATATAATCAGTTTGATTTACGAGTTTGTTTGTTTCTTTGAGTCATATCAGTACTCACGCCATTATCTCTGATTTATATCAGTTTGAGGATGGAAACGATACCTGTATGGAGTGGAGAACTCCGACCAAAGAAGAAGAAGAAGAAGAAGAAGAAATTCAGAGGATGAAGAATCAGGCTTCGTTATCGATCTCATGTCTAACGCATATCTGTTTCTAATAAAAAAAATCTTCTTTTTTTGAATATATTTCAGGCTCGATTCTTATATCTGGAGTTAGTTATTGTCATGCGATGGTATGTAGATAAAATGTTCATTCAGCTCAAGGACACATGTTTTATTTATATTGATCTTTGATGATTATGTGTATATTCAAATTATGGGTTTCTTTGTAAAGCAAATTTTCCATCGCCACCTGAAGCTGGAGACTTCCCTTGAAACTATGTAATGTTGGCTATTCTAAGGTATTGATCCACTTTTCTGTCTAAGGTGACATGTGTTTTCTTATGCACATTTCTTTGCCAGTCATCTACTCTTCATTCATGGGACTGGATACTCAGTTAGATTTAACCACTTCGAAGTAGCTGACGTTGCAACCTGAGGTCTGGTGAACCTTATTCAGTAATGAGCTTCTTGCTACGCCAGTATCCATATTTTCTTAAGTTAGGACAATTGCTTTTAGGGCATATATGTTCCTCAAAGCTTGATGTGCTCCTTACAAAGAAATATTTGTTTTGCATAGCTTTGCTCTGTTATCCTGAGATTTATGTTGTTCTTTAAAGGAGTAAACTTCACGGATGTGCTTGGAAGTCCCTTCTACATTTCTCCTGAAGTTCTTACCAAGAATTACGATCCAGCAGCAGATATTTCGAGCGCATGCGTGATGGTTTATGTTTTACTCTCTGGCTCAGCTCTGTTTTTGGGAGGTAAGTTTCACAAACTTTTATATGTCTTTGGATGTTTTCTCATGTTCGTTATTAATCTAAACATAAACAGAAGAAGAAATCTTCAATGTCAGGTTTGATTTAATTCTGATGGTGCATCAAGGTTTGTGATAAGGCAGTTTAAAGGGGTAGAGATATTATGTCAAGACTGTAGCTTAAACTTTGACTAGGAAAAGAACAGTTTTGGTGAAGATGGCTAAAGTCTTAATGCCTTTGACCCTATGACTTAGAATTATATGGCCAATCATAATCCAGACATGTAGATGAGACTGAATGAGACTAAGATAGCCAAGAAAGAGTCGGAAGAGCAAGAGTAGTTTGATCTCAGTATCAGTGATGAGGAGCGTGCGAAAGATATTTTTGGTATACATTGTTAATGACAATAGAATCTAAATGTGTATGTGGTATTTAATCAATTTCCATTAGTTGTAACAAAACATGTGGTCATGTGATCAGCTTATACGAATATTGATGTTGCAGTTCATACGGTGGATTCTGGTCGCCAAGAAGGTGTCCTCTACGACCGTGGCTGCTGGTGAGGATTTAAAAATCAATATGGCCGTGTGAGGATAATATCCAAGGTGAGATTCCTCCACCTCATGTTCCTTTTGCTCATTCTGTGTATTGGTGTTTTGGGGAAATACATTATGGTAGCGACTTTGATGAGTTTTTACATTTGTTTCATTAATTTCTGTGTTAGACTAGAAAGTACCAGGAGGAATAAATAGTGGTGATGTTCCACTGCACATTGCAGAGCATGAAGAAGTCGATTCATGCTTAGTCTTGGCATGGTAGGTTCCACTTTTGAAGTTAGGTTATCTTTCCCTGCAAATTTGGAAATAAGGAGATTGTCTCTGTGTTTTGAGAAGGATTATAGAAGGGTAGACTGAATGATAGGACGGTTAGGTTAGCTATCATTGACAACATAACTTTGATTCTGTGCGTTTTAATACCGGTACGTGAACTGGTTAAAATCTGCGAGAAGGTGTTGAGGATATTTTTGTTGATGCTGCTCATGTAACTGGTAGTTTTAAAGTCAATGCCTAAGACAAAAGAGCTAATTACTATGCGAGAAACATGTATAAATGGTTTTTCCCTGTCTGTTGTTTTTTTCTATTGTGGCAAAATGCAGTTTCGATCAAATTTTCATCACCATGTGGTGCCTCATGAGTTTACGCCAAGTGGCATGTGTTGAGTGTGTTTGGTTTGGTGCAAATGAATGCAGATGTATATTTGAGTTTTAAAAAACAAGTTTAAGAGTGATGGGGTTTATTTGAGTCAGCAAAGCTTCAATGACTGTATATGGAGCAGTAAACGCAACTCCAAAATCAAGAACAAAAGGAACTCACATAAAGACCCCCTTTCTTTAAAGAGTCACTATCAAAGAAAAACTTACAAGCCATCGTTGGCCTTTTCTTTCAGTACTTATTGCTGTATAAAACATACCAACCAATTATACAATAATCTAACTTCTGATAACTAATCAAACCGATATATATATATATATATATATATTAGGAACAAATAAACTCGACGGAAAAGTTTAAACAATGAATAATTTAAGAGTTTCAAAAGTATATATTTAATGAAACAAAAATTCTAAAATGTAATAGTTTGAACCGTAGAAAAAAAAAATCTAAAAGCAACCAAAAAAATAGTAGGAACACATAATATAACAGGAAATTATAAGTTTTTAGAATAAATAAAATTTCATAAGAATATAATTTTTTTTTTGTATAAAACGGTTTTTACTATAAATTTAAAGTACAATATGATTTCTACACACCGAGTCCATTCATCATCCTTGTTGTACTGCATCGACTTATTTTTTATAGAATTTTTACCTTTTGATTTCACCAAAATGGGTTTCAGTGTGTATGATGGTCTAACTTAAGTATTTCATGCGATTCATTCTAAGGAGTTTGTCATTGTAAATTGATTTACTTAACTTTAGGTCTGAAGTCAAATGAGTCTCATTATAGCACTGTCTTACACAAATACAGAGGTCAACAGCATAGTCCGTGAACAATCGTTTGTAGCCTATAATACCAATTGTTAGGTAGTCAAAAAAATTAAATAATCATTACTAAAAAATTATGATTTGAAGAGGTCAGCATGATATAAATAAAAAGAATGAAATGAAATTTTAGTAGAACGATGAATGTAGCAAAAATTAATAAAATGCAATAAGTAAAAGAAATATAACTTTAACAAGAGTGATAATATATGCAAAAATTAATTGAAAGAAAAAAAATGAAATTAATCCTACTTACTCAAATTTCGACCAAAAACATGAGTGAGAGAAAAATAATAACTTTGTATTCAAATTCAAGTTTCATATCAACAACACAAATATTATAAGGCTTAGTGCCTAATAGAAATTAAAAAGGACAGTAAAACTAATGCTAAAATAACGAGGTGAACACAAATAGAAAACTTCATCCGATGCATATGACAATTCCGTTAAATACACAATATCTAATCAACCAATTATTAGTCCCATGTACAATCTGATGGGGAAAAACTCACTATCAGTAATAGAAAATATACAACACAATTCTCAGAAGAGATATAATCTCACTTTCAACAAAACACATATAATAGATATCATAGACAATAAAAATACATTTCGCGCAGAGCGCGGACCAACCACTAGTTAAGTTATAAAATTCATTCAAAATCACTACAATTGAAAAATACATAGGCATAAACTAGAAATCATAAAATATTCTTGTTGAATTTGACGGGGAATTTCTGAAGAAGTCTGCTTTCATTAACTAGAAGCATACATAAACTTGAATATATTTAACCTCATAATTATAAAAAATTGAGTTATATACACATGAATTAACAAAAAAATATTAAAAATTCATTTTAGATTTGGAGAAAATACTTTGTCTATCTACCAACTCTTGAATTCCACAACACACGAGAAACGATAGGAAGTTCCTTAAAATTTATTTCGTAGTGATGCAATCAATAGTGAGTTTTTGAGGGATGGTCATTAATATTTTGTGTGAGGGTTTCATTTTTTTATAAGTATAACCATTATGCTTCACAAGAGTAATTATCGATCTCGGAAACCAGAACCATCAGTGCCACAAAAATCCTAATCGATCTTATCATCAGCTGAGCAAGAGCTATTTCACACCTGCCATAGTAAGCCATGATGAGTCGAGGGATCAGAAACCATAACTTGGCGTTTTTTCTTGAATCAAGACTCGTATAGGTAAGTGTATAATACCAAATGGGTCTGTGGACGTGATCGGGTTTCTGAATGATGAACGTGAAACCAGAAGGGACATCAAGTTTCTTGAGATTCTTATAACGCTCGCAAAGTTTGAATACGTCGACTCAATTTCTGTCCAGTTCTGTCCTTCAATTGTTGACGGACGAATATTGGCCTCAGCAAGCTCGGGCTGGTACACAAAGTGTCCATTCCAGTTACGACGTACTGGATAAACCGCAATGTGTGAGAAATTCGAATCTTCTCTCCAGCGTTTTCCAGACTAGTCATTGATAGGAGATGCCTCTTTAGGATCGTCGACTGCAGTGTGTCTTTCTCCGTCTGCTTGAAATGAATTGTTGGCAAACTGAACTGGTTGAAGCTGATCAAAGTTCAGTCTGGCGGTATCTGTCAGAGCCTCCTGATGTTTACGGACTATCAACTGGATTCAAGCCACCCAGTATATATGGATCTAGGCTGGGGGATGTAACCTTTCCTTTTCTTGAGTACATACTGATTAACGATATTTTTCTCGGATAACAGTTTAAGAACACAAAGAAAATTGTACACATCAATCCAGCTTACGGTGGTAGATAGGAAAAGAAACAATAAAAGCGATTTCAAGAGAGGAGAGTTTGAGAGAGAGAAACTACCTTTTATCGCAAACAAAAATTGAAGAAATGAGGGTATGATCTTCTATTTAAGATGCTGCATCTCAATAAACAAAGAGACTCCATCTTCATGTCAACCAAACCAAAAACGGCGGCAAGATTCCTATCTTTATAGGAGAAATTATTCCACTTCTCGGAGGAAATCGGAGACCAGTGTATGATTTCACACCGTATAAGTAATTTAAACTAGATCTATGATGGTTTGTGATTAAGCAAATAGAGATCTAGAATATGCCAAGAAGGGAGTCCGGCCGCGTTTTGAGGTGTTGCTATTTACTTTTAAAATATATATTCTTGAAAGTTCATTAAGATCAACTTCGTCTCTCACAATAAATAGGAGGAGGCTTATTGTTGAAGACATATTATATCCCTCGGACAAGTAAATTGAATTTGGGTCATCTATCTTATTAAATCATAAACATTATGTTGGACCTAACATTTATTTTGTAAGTTTTAAAATTAAATACATCTTTCTACTTTATAGTTAAATCACATTAAATCACTAATACTATTTTCTTTATACTACTATTCATACTTCCAAACAATATATTTATTTCTTTATACTACTATCCATGTTTCCAAATAATATATTCATTTTTTATACTTATCTATGTTTCGAAAAAACACTATAATTGATCTTATGTCCAAACAATATAATCATTTCTTTATACTACTATTCATGTTTCCAAACAACACTATAATTAATCTTGTGCCCAAACAATACAAAATATTAGATCTCATCTTTAATAATTTCTCACAATTTTTTTCAAATTATTTAGATAAACTAAAACTCAAATAATATATAAAACAACGAACATAAACTTATTTTTACAAATTTAAATATTACATATCAGTTATCCATATGTTCAATTCGTTAGTCTCGGGTTTTAGTGTTTTTTAAAATTTGGATATATTTAAAAATCAAAATTGAATTACCAGATCACCGGTTAATAGTGGTTTGGGTTAAAATTAAAAATACTGATTTAAAGGTAAAAATATTTTAAATGCATAAGTTCTTTCAGATTACCAATATTTGTTAAGTTATTTATAAAACTTTTCATCATAAAGTATTATGGGCTTGCAAAGTTCAGACCAAAGTTAAGTTTGAATTTAACCTAACTAATAACTTAAAAGTCAAGGCCAAAAATTCTAGAATTTGTATATTATTTTTTTAAAAAATTGATAATTATTGAGAACAAAAGTAACTAAACTCTCAACTTATTTTTTTAACGCAAACCGTTAAGTTTGAATTTGATTTGACACTTCGAACAAACTACAGAATTAGTGTTTTCACTGCACGGTTACATCTACATAATACACCTCTTGATGAATTAATACAGAAGACGGTTTTATTGTTCTTTAAACATAAATCAAATTGGACAAATTCGAAACTATATAAAACTAAATTATATAGAATACATCTAAAAAATAAAAATAAATTATATAGAATACATCTAAAAAATAAAATCTGTGCGGGTGTACAGATCATATGATCTAGTTTGGTTAAAAGCCCAATCATTAGTTTATGTAGACTTAGGCTCTAACTGGTAACCATCACAGGAACATCAAAAGAACAAATAAAAAAAGAATAGATGGGAATAAAATTATGGGAATGAAGAGAAATAGTTATTCCATATCAAGTTTAATAAGGAACAAATTTGTTCAATAAATCTCTACAATAAAGGGAATGATGAGGAATAGAAAGGAAAAACTATTCCTTACGAATGATAAATTTTTTGAGGAATATTAAGGAATGTATTGTTCCTCCTCGTTCCTTTGGTCACCATTCATAGCCTTAGAGAAAATAAAGGAAAGAGGTCAGCTATAAAGGGAATGGCCCAAAACGATGAGAGATTCATTTACACAGACGAGAAATTCAACACAAAGATTAGGGTTTTAATAGTTTATCATGTTGCCTAGTTGTTCGTGCATACTTTCTATACGTGCTGAATTCAAATTAAACATTTAACAGTAAGAATACTACTTTCATTTACTTTAACAGAGTAACATAGGAAAACTAAGTAATATTTCATGACCTATTGTTTTTTTTTTATTTAATTTCCTAGTATGATCAGCATTAGGGTATCAGAAGCTCTCCATTACATCAACCCTTATAGAGATCAATATGCATACTTTTTCTCTTAGCCACAAAAGACAATTTCTCTCACATCTTCAACTCTAGTGAAGTTGTGGCAGCAGACCCAACAAGAATAGCTGACAGCCTCCAGTTTATCTTGTTAGGTGTCTCATGATGATTGATGGCAATAACTAAATAAGAAAATCTAAAAGAAACATTAGATAAAAAATAGTGAGTACTTTTGGTACTTACTTAGACGAGTGAACCTTGATGCCATTACATTATTTTTCTTCTAGGTGGACTTAGTTTTGAATTCAGACAAACCCTCAGCGCATGGTTCACTTTCTACAAAAATGACAGACCATCGAATCTTAAGTTTGTATTTGCTTTGTTTTCAGTGTTGGTGCTAATTCAACTGTGAATTTGTAGGGAATATGGGGAAGAATGGCAGCTGGAAGACACTTATATTGATTGGAATTGTCTACAAGACTAACTGGAACAAAAGGATCCCTTAATTGGTCTGTCATTATATCCATTGCAAGCATGGAGAGGAAATAATATGAAAATCATCTGTACAGAATTTTAGTTTAGTGCTTACCAAATTATTGTACATGTACAGTTTCATTACCCAAAGTTCAATTTATTGCAGAAGCATGCCATGATAATGTTTCTATAGTGACAATATACTGGGTTTCACTGATGAGAATAGAGCGAATCATATCAGAAGTGTGCGAGTCTACATCATAGTTCAACACACATCATAGTTCAACACGCTTACTTCTACGAGTTTCAGACGCTTACTTCTACAATGTATAATTATCAATCATAGTTATTGTTTCGATAACATTCAAAAAAGTACAATAGAAAATCAATTCAATCAACTAGGCAAAAAATTTTGAAAAAACATTGTAAAAAGTCTCAATGCAGGTTACATTTTTACATTCCAGTACACATAGATTTTCAAAATATTATCTGAAATCAAATAAGATCATTTGTGAAATAACTAAGAATCAAAAGCAAAGAAAATGTGCTCAGAAGTGCTTGAAAGGTAATCACGAGACTACAAAATCTCATTCATGTGATAAAAGGTCATTTTTTTCTTCTTCATCGCCACAATCTTTAGCTTCATAAAGAAAATAAATTTGAAATCAACACAATACACGGAACAGAAAATAGTAAACACTAAGATTTGAAATAAGTGAAAGTAATTTAGAGGAAATGGGCTCAGAAGTGCTTGAAAGGTAATCACGAGATGTTAAAATCTCACTCATGAGATAAAAGGTCATTTTTTCTTCGTCATCGCCACAATCGTCAGCATCTTAAAGATATTTAAAATCAATTTGAAATCAACAAAACAGCACAAACGCAGTTTGAGAAGAAGACTAGAAACTGAAAGCTTTAAAAACCCTTGTCGTCGGCGAAGGTAGATGACAGCTTGAGTCATATCGTCTAATATATATAGGAAACCCATAAACTAGGGCAACTCTCAGATGTCTTTAAACTTAAAAGACATAATTACCCCTAATAACTCTTTTTTTTTGTTTTTGGGACAACTTTTTTTTCACAGCATGTGGAGCCTAGCTTCTATCCCTTATCCTCGAGAGGATGGGGGACGACGAAATTACCCCTAAGAGCATGTACAACGGCGATTATATAGAATCCTTAGCACATAATCCTTAGCTTATTTGAATATAAGATTAAATATAAAATCAGAAAAAGCTATGGACTCATCCTTAACTAAGGATTAAAATGAGGTGGTCCTTATCCATTCTCTCTCTTGCTAGCTATCATCTTCTTCCTCTCTTACTCTTTTTGATCGGCAAATTCAAATCGAATCCATCACTTCTGATCATCTGTTCCTCCTCTCTCTAGTGTTTCAGTTCCCAAACTCGTAAGACTATGGATCTACCTAGCCTCGCTTTGATCCTCCGAGCCACCGCACTCAGTCCTAATCCCGATGAACCCAAAGCTTCTGAGAAGCAACTCAATCAGGTCTTGAAATTCTCTACATTGTTGCTGAAATAGGCAGATTGTTCGAATATGCTATTGATTAAGTATTTGATTTCACTGATTTCTAATAGACTTAAGTTCAAATTTTGATTATTCGAAGATGTTTCTGGTTATTCTCAGTTGCAGCATACGCCACAGCACTTGGTGAGATTGTTGCAGATAGCCGTGGATGGGAACTGTGATATGGCAGTTCGTCAAATGGCTAGTATTCAGTTTAAGAACTTCATTGCTAAGAACTGGTCACCTGGAGATTTGGGTGCAGGGGAGCAGCAGAGGATATTGCAAAGCAATAAAGAATTGGTGAGAGATAACATACTCGTCTATGTCACTCAAGTTCCAACCTTACTCAGGTAAAATTTGCGAGATGGCTCTGGAACTTATCATTCTAGTCATTTGGCTTATTATATATTGGCTCGTTTGTTTGTGGTTTTTGGTATTTTTTTTTTGCCTGATGTCTTGTGTCATTTTGTGAAAAGATGACATAACTTGTTTGATAGATAGTCTTCAAACTGATAGTCCTCACCTTTTGTTTTACTTGGACCTACAACAGAGCACACTCGTAAATGTATCATGCATTTTTATATGTGTCTTTGCATTGTCCTTAGTCTCTACATGTCATGAAACAGTGAACGGTGGATGACATCTTAAGAAGTTAACATTTTTTCTGAAGCCTTGATTAACAACCGGATTTTTATTTTCTCCCAACTCATTTTGTAATCTAGATCACAACTTGGAGAGTGCCTCAAGACTATATATGCTGACCACCTAGAACAATGGCCACGTCTTTTGGATTGGGTGAACTACAACTTGCAGAATCAACAAATCTATGGAGCTTTGTTTGTGTTGTGGATACTCTCTAGAAAATATGAGTAAGTTATATCTCTTAGCATATAGTTGATGTCAATGAGAACTACACAATCTAAGGTGAACGTTTTGTTACATATGTAGAGACTTTGGATTTCAAGTTTTTGTTGAAGCCAAATAATAGAAATACACCTCGTATAGTGGAGGAAGGTGAGAATAGGCTTCTTATTGGTGGTTTGTTGCAAAGTGGAGATGCTAGGGTAGCTCTTTTTAAGCTGGAATGTGATGAGATTCTTGAATTCTGAGTGTTCATCAATGCTGATAGAGTTTCACCATTTGATCTTGCTGCTAGTTGGCAAGCTTATAGGGAGAATTTTGGCTCTCTATATGAGGAACAAAAACTATACAATTCAATAATCTTTTTTCCTAAGGACTCTAAAATGGGATACACCATTGGACTAACTTTTTTAACTAGAGTTCTTAACTATTCAAACAAAAAAATTAAAAAAAAAATAGTTTAATAATGCTTAAGGACTCCAATGGTAGCAACACCATTGGAGATGCTCTAATAACTCTATCATTTAAAATTGCCCCTCTTATGGTTTTATTTGTTCTTTTGCGCATGCGAGTGTTTTGATCTCTACAACTTAGTTCAAAAAAAAAAAAAAAAAAATCTCTACGACTAGGATCAACTGGTTCCATATAAGAAAGCCTGGTCATGGCAGAAAAGCATTGTCAACGAGAAACTATCTCTGATTGATAAAAAACAAATAAAAAACCAAGATATTCCAGACATAGTGATTTACTGATTTTATTACAACACGCTCCTGTTTACACAAACTGGAAGTTCAAAGGATTATCTCAACTTCAACATACAGAATGCTGCTTTCCATGAAGGTGGCGGAGAAGTCACCATGGCCCTGGTCAGGTAAAATCAATCTCAACAACGCACTGAGCTTTCCTCTGTTTTTTCATAAGGGTGTGTGGCTGAATGTGATTTGCTTGCAAATGTAGCTAGTGACGTATCCTATAATAAATCTCCGGAATCACAAGATAAAACTCCACTTTATCTTGGTTTCTTAGTGTGATTTGATCTGATTTTGGCAGTAATTTTGGGTGGAAATGTGCAGATAGGAGACCATAAAGTGGCTGCGGTAGGTATCTGTGTGTGTCGAAATGTGTGACATATCATGGTCTAAGTCTTAACGTGACGACGGATTTAACACGTTTCAATTCCATAGTTCCTTGTGGTATAAGAAACCGTCGTGTTGCAGAGGGGCATGACGCATGTGTTATGATAAGCTTGACTGATATGCAGTTGATAGATATAGTCGTTACTCAAGGAGTTTTCTGAAGATCTGCAGCTTCAAATTGAAAAAAAAACAGTTACAGATCATATAACACTCTGACACCACTGCAATGCTAAAGGATTGTGTGATTGGTATAGTGCAGGAAACTTTTTTGTGGTCCTGGTGCTTGTATTTAAAAAAAAAGAGATTTTTTTGGCTGTTTGCATTGTTTGTCTGCTTCTTTTAGATATTTGTTGTGAGAGATTAGTCTCTCTATTTTTATTTCCACATTGTAATCTTCCCTTTAAAGATAGCTTATCCTTTTCTTGGATTGACCACAAAGAGATGGCTCTGGAGTCTGCTTTCTCCATGAGTTTCTGCTCCTTCCATGTCCCAAAAGCAATCACAATTGAGAGGGAAACCTTATCCTTTCACCGAACCATCATCTCTAGAACGAAGGGAATTGCAGGTGAGGGTGAAGTTCAGAACTTAAGGATAAGCTCTGATCTCAAAAGGGTTTACAAGAATGAGAAAGGGGATACCCAAGCACACAATGGTGACAGAGTAACAGCAAGAAAACTTCCAGGTTCAGTACGGGAAGATAACCAGGAGATTTCAGGGCAGAAGAAGGCTATTTTAGATAGAAGCAAGGCTGTAGTGAAGCTGAAATCATTAGTTAAAGAAGTGAGAGAGGCAGGATATGTACCAGAAACGAAGTATGTTCTTCATGATATCGATGAAGAAGCCAAAGAGAAAGCATTGATGCATCACAGTGAACGGTTAGCTATTGCTTTTGGGCTTATAAACACACCTCCTGGGACGACGATAAGAGTGATGAAGAATTTGAGGATATGTGGAGATTGCCACAACTTCATAAAGATACTGTCGAGTATTGAAGATAGAGAGTTTGTTGTAAGAGATAACAAGAGGTTTCATCATTTTAGAGATGGTATTTGCTCCTGCGGAGATTATTGGTAGAAATTTTTGTATGAACAAACCTGTAGTGACGTTTTAAAACTGATCAAATCAAAGTGACGAAATTTAAAAATCACATATCAAAGTACTAAATGTCATGTTCTTAATCACTGAGTTAAGACAACTTCACTTATTCTCTAAACGAGGTTCTTTATCCGTTGTACGCGCAGATTATCTACTATAGAACTTGCTTTGTTTTGTTTTTATAATCTGTTTAAATATAAGAAAAATTTATATGTTATTTGACAAAAAAAAATTAAATTGATGTAAAAAACACAATCGATCATGTTTAAAGTTCGCATATATCATTTTTCATATCAAATATTTTTTTTTATTAGTAAATACATGGTTAGGTGAGTAAATTTTGTTCTATCGAACAATTTTAGATGTGTTTAAAAATTTTCTTCTTCATTTGAGCAGGTTGTTATTATTTACTAACTATCTTAGTAAATATTACAAATTTAATTGTTTTTTTTTGGTGTTCTATCTTCTCCATGCATTACACAATTACTTGTATGTTTAGCTTAACAATTTCACATCATATAGTTATATAGTATTATTTATTTACTTACTACATATATCTTATTTGAATTAATTGTTTTAGATAGATATTTCTATTCGGTATCTGAAATTTTAAAATACACACGTCAAGATGTTCCATTTATAAACATACGCTAACATATGGAACTAACACAACATGTTATCGAAAAACAAAAACAATCAGATATTTGAAATAAGCACGTACAGTAAATGGTAACTTAATATTTAGTTTAAAGATAAACACAGAAACACTAATAAGAAGAGAAAACATGACTTGCAATTTAAAAGCAAGCACGGCCTGTAATTTTAACACCAACACTAATAAGCAGAGGGAACATGGCTGCAATTTAAAAAAAAAGACGATCAATAATGTGGAAATAAACACAAACTTAATTTAAAAACAAAAAAATGTCAACACAAATAAGCAGAAAAATGACATGTAACTTAAAAACAATCCGATCCGCAATTTGAAAACAAAAATGAATTCGAGTTTAAAAGAAACACGCCTAGTTGTTTAATTTAAAAACAACACTAATAGTCATACTAAACACAAGCTGTTATTTAAAAAAAAAACCCGAACTCTATAACTTTAAACAAACATGATAGACAGAGCAGTATGAGGGTGTGGTAAATTAAACAAACAACTAAGCAGTGTAGCTTTTCTTACGGAAAAACCACAATGAAATCTCAAAATAATAAAAAGTGACAAAAATGTTAGGTTTGGAAATATGACGACACTGATTTACCTCCAACTCTTCTTGGATACGTGGTTGTCACCAAGAGTAAGGAAGGGATACTTACACTTTTGTTTAACTTCCGCAACTTTGTCCCACATGATACATTTAAAATTGGTTCCCCTGCAGATGGTAATATTTACACTCTTATAAGGTGCATTACATCTGAAGAAATGTTCTAAACTGAAATAGTCAATTAACACTTGAAGTGATGAGAAACAAAACCTTTTGAGATAACAATTAACAACTGAAGGGGAAAAGATACAATAGAGAGAACCTCACAGAATATTCTTGTCTTAGTCATCGCAATGGCCTACAGAAACTTCCAATACTCAGCTACTAAGCTTTGAACTTTCTGGTTCTGGAGTCTATGAAAACCATCTGCCTGCTTTGGCTGAAACCAAAAGCAGAGATTTATTCACGTTATTATTAGTTTTAGAAATTCATAAGAAAATCAAATTTTTTACCATGGTGGTATGTTCCTTCTTTCACTACCTTAACCATTGGTTTTTACCGAAGGAACAAATAAAGAGAAGACAATACGAGTGTTATGAAAATGGAAAATCTAAAATCAATCTCTAGATTGCAGACATGTAACCAGTCAAAGCTCCATGGAAATGAAAGTGTGTGAGAGAATTGTAATTTTAATATATGAATGTCCTAACCTTTTTAAAAACAGCTGGAACGGCCGTGGATAGCTTCGCCCGAGATGCTGATTAGCCACGTAGGTCAGCCGATGGAATCCTGCTGTGAGAATGATAATGTTGCAGATTGGTAAAGAAAATATCATCGAATGAGAGACAGTAGAGAAGACAAAGATAGAAGAGGAATAGGAGGAGGAGAATCAAAGGCTTTATGGATTAGGCGATTTGGAATTTATTTGTTGAACTGAATTAGGAAGATGAACGGTGGGAGGTGAAATGATATCATCAAAAAATATTTAAGAACATAAGTAAGATTGAGATTGAGTCATGATAATTTCAAAGAAGAAAGAGTGATTTGCAGGGAGTGGAAGTGTCGAAGTCGATCATCACCATCGTTAAGTTAAAGAAGACCAGAGTTGACAATGTGGATTTTAGATGGGCGAATGATGAAAATAATGAGCCCAAAAGAATGACCCGTTTAAGATCCGGTCGATAGAAGCTTAGGTAACATCAGTGGTGAACCCATAATGATTCTAAACATGGTCTAAAATTAAATGGGCCTTAAATTTTCAAATAAAAAAATGTAAAATAGGGTGTCAAATAGATTTGAACCCGGGTTAAAGAGTGTCAGCCAAAGTAAACGTACCACCAGAGCTGACGAAATTTAATTATTAAAGTTTAACATACCACATTTTTATAATTTAAGATTTGTCTCTGGATGACATATCAAATTGAAATATTTTCATTGGTTGATTAAGTTTGATGATGTGGATAGGCTAAATGGAGCTCTTATTCTCCTTTTATTACTTGTTTGATATATACAGTATATTGACTAACTTGACACAATGCACAACATACAACATAAATAAAACCACATATGACCTCCTCCTTTTTACTTTAATTTATCTTTATTTAAACTGAAAAAATGGAAAAGACTAAAAACCCAAAACAAATCAAACTAATTACAGTTTTACCAACCGCACTATCCAACCCTGATATTAAGCCCACCCCCAAGATATCCATTTGATTATTGGGATAAAAACCTTCTCGTTCTCTTACTCTGGATGGATATGTTTGGAACCACACAAAACAGAAGTATACTCAGTTAAGACCTTGGTTTCAAAAGGCGACGGCAACGCTCGCCATGGCGAGAGGTGACCTGAGGCAACCCCAAAAATGACTCATTACCCCAATGCTAAGAGAGGTACGCATGTCGACCGCCTTTCCTCGCAATAGCTGTATACACTGAGTCGAACATTGCGTCGCTACGTTGTTGTTAATCAAACCATATTCTGTTAACATTTTTTTTATGCAAAATCGACAACGGTTAAGTAAAATAGCATATACGTGTAATATACTCTAAATATTCTCTAAATCTACTCTAAATATGCGCTAAATATACTCTAACCGAAAGCCCTAATCCATATAACAAGTAAAAACCCTAAGTGAATGTACTATATAATAGTAACACGTCCCCTTTACTTTTTCACAAGTTCTCTTGTTTTCTCTAAGCTACTCACAACATAAGCTCTTCTTTACTTTGTCGGTTTGTTTTCTTAGTTAAAGTTTTAGTGTTTAATATATCATGTTGATCATATATAAGGCTCATAGTATCATATATTCTTTATCACTTACCATTCATGTTTTCTCTATTCGAGCAAATCTCTAATGTCTCTCGTATCATTCATTTTGTTTGTTCAAGTTTATTTACTTAGCTCTTCTTTACTTTATCGGGTTTTTTCTCATAGTATCATATCTTCTTTATCACGCAAACCTCTTCTCTTTTCTATTCACATTTCATTCATTTTGTTTGTTCAAGTTTATTTGTATAGCTTGTGTTAAGATCCTTATATGTTTATGTAACTAGTTTATGGTATTATATACGTAGCTTAACCTTCATTTTAAATTTTGTTTGCTAAATTTTATCTACGTAGCTTATATTCTTTGCTTCTTCTTTGAAGGTTCATCATGTCTGAGATTGGAGGATCATCCCGAGGATGCGAAACACAAGGTGGAGCATCATAACAAGGGGCATCCGAAGTTGATCCAGGACGTAAGTATGGAACCAGTATTCTTAGAAACAAGAACAAGTGGATGTGCATTTTATCCAAGAAAGACACTAATGAAGGTGTTTCACGTCTGAAGCACCACTTGGTTGGAGACAGCACAAGCGTGAGCAAGTGTCCAACTTGTCCCGAGCATGTGAGAGTTGAGTTGCGAGACTATGCACTCAAAAAAAACTGAGGAAAGAGCACCTCAGACCATGCGCTACGAACATGTCCTAAATGACTTCGATGGTGAGGAAGTTTGAAGATGACCCTAAACAGAAAGCTAACTCTAACAAGAGGAAGAAGAGAGGTCCATTGGACAAGAATATAATTTATGTTCTCACTTTCTTGGTTTGCTAGATAATTGGACAAACAAATAATTATATGGTCTCTATTATTTGACAGGTTTGTCACTTCAACTCCTCCTGACATTTTGAAAGGAAGGAATGACACCAAGCGTGTGCTTGGAGCTTGTGACAAACAGCTAAGGGACAAGGTGTGTGCTGGAATAGCTAGGTGGTTCTATGATGCTGGTATTCCATTCAATGCTGTCACCTATGATTCTTTTAAAGAGATGACACAGTTCATTGGACAATATGGATTGGGTTTAAAACCACCTAGTATGCATGAGCTCAGAGTACTTCTTCTTCAGAATGAAGTCGCAAACACTCATGATATGCTCTTACAACACAAGAACGAGTGGGCTGCTAAAGGATGCTCTATCATGTCAGATGGGTGGCGTGACTCAGTGGTCCAGAAGGACATAGTTAACTTTCTAGTTAACTCTCCCAAGGGCTCTATTTTCATGAAGTCTAAGGAGGTCTCAGAAGTGGTGAAAGATGCAACAATGCTGTTCAAACAGCTTGATGAGATGGTTGAAGAAGTTGGTGAGAAGAATGTGGTTCACGTGATCACAGACAATGCATCTAATTATGTGAAAGTAGGTACTGTGTATCTAATATATTTTCTAGATTGCATTCTAAACATTTTTATTGTTAAACCGAGATTGATCATTGATCTAATCAGAAACAATTTGAAATTGCAGGGAAATTGCTAGAGGATAAATGATCAAACCTGTAATGGACTCCTTGTGCAGCACATTGTCTTGATCTTAAGACATTGGGAAGTTGGAGCAGGTTAAGAATGCATTGAAGAATTGTATCTTCATGA